AGAGCGGCCGAGGATGGGGAGAGCGAGCGGGGGCGCGGAGCCCGAGGGGAAGGCCGCGCTGAGGGTCGCCGCCGGTGCAGCCGGGGTTTCAGCCGCCTTGCTGCTGCTGCCGCCGCCGCCGCCACCGCCGGCCGGCCGGCGCCTCACGGGGAGGGCTGCGCTCTGCTGTCGCTGCGACGCTCGTTGCTGCTGCTGCTGCTGCTGCTGCCGTCGGCCGCTCCCTGCAGCCGCGCTCCATGTCCCCCGGCTCGGCGGCAGCAGCGGCGGCGGTGGCGGCTGCTGCTGCTGCTGCTGCTGCAGGGGCCGAGGCGGCGGCTCGACATCCTTCGCCGCGCAGCCCCGGAGCTCTCCTTCCTGCCTTGCCCCCGGCTCCGCAGCTCACCGGGCCGAGGCCCCCGCCCCGCGCTTCCGGCCGCGCCCCTCTCCCCGCCCCTGGGCCGGCGCCTGACGCGCGCGGGCACCTGTTCGCCGGGGATTCGCCGGCGATCGGCTCGCCTCAGCCGCGCCCGGGTGGCGCCGGCTTAACCCCGGACGTGGCCTCGCGCGTCGCTCCGCGGATGCGCGCGCCGCCCGTGGGGGACGCCTGGACTCATCTCGAAGGGCCGGATTCTCTCCCGTGGGCACGGCCACGCCCCCCGGCCTGAAGCCCCTCCCTCAGCCTCGTAATCGGCTAGAGGTGTGGCCACGCCCCCTGCGCTCTCAGCCTCGTAATCGGCTAGAGGTGTGGCCACGCCCCCTGCGCGCTCACCTCAGGGTGCGGCTCTCCGTTAACCGCTTCTCCCGCCCCTTCGGTGGACACTCGGCCACGCCCCCTGCCTCGTTTTCGCCCCGGGTCCGTGGCCACGCCCCCTGCGCTCGCACCTCTGGGTGTGGCCTCCTCCAGACTCCCACGCTCTCACCTCTCGGGTTAGAGCTGCGGGGCCCGCGTCCTCATCCTCGTCTCCGCGGCCCCGTCCGCAGCCTCATTGCAATTTAGGGGGCTGGCGGGAGCCCCGCGTAGCTGGGGGGGTCTCATCCTGGTCTCCTAGGTGGTCTGTGGGCTGAGGGGGCTGCGGACCATTCTGTGAGAGCCTTTTGCAGTCCCTGATTTTCTATCTGGATCCCTGCAAGAGCTAAGCAGTCGGGAGAGGGAGCCCTAGAGAACAGGAGGCGGAGGAATGACTTGGGGAACCCAGCATCTTCATGCTGATGACTCAGGGATATGAGAGAAAAGGTTTTGGGGAGAAATAACGGGGAGAAAAAAACCCCTGCTCGTAGATGAGGATTATGAAACAAAGATGTCCCCCAATAATAACTCCCTGAGCCATGTCCAGCTTTCTCTTTGTTCGTTTTGTGTGCATTATCTTATTAATCTCACAAGGATTTTATAAAGTGGTGTCGTTCTTGGTGTTTTACAAGGGAAGAAACTCAGGCCCGAGATTCGGGTCCTGCCAGGCTGACTCCGGGATTCCCAGTAAATCATTATTCTTTCTTAACATATCACCCCCATCTGGAGGAAGATAAGCGGTGATTTACAAAGAAGATGGACTGACTCAGGACACAGGGGATGCTTCCTGCGATGAGGAAAGAAGAATGACGCTACAGGGTGGCTGTCACCCTGTTCTTTGACAGAGATGGTGATGCTGTGTGCCTCTTATTTCGGGAGCCAGAACTGGTCTTTATTGTTTCCTTTTCCTCTTCAGCCACAACCTTCTTTTTGTTTTCTTTTTTAAATGAGGTCATACTTTGGCTCTTTTTATCCCGGTGAAATGGAAATTTTAGGACACCCAGAAGTTGAAACGTTTCTCTTTTCCACAAAATACTTTATTTAGTTTTTTTTTTTGAAACGTTTCTCGAGGGTTTGGTTCTTTATTAAATACAGAGCCTACAAACAATTACCTTGTAGGACGATCCGCTCTCAGACCCAAGGCAAGAATCCAAAAGTTCTCCAGCCTCGGGGCTGGCTTTGGGGGAAAGACAGGTGAAGTGTTATCACTTCAGATCGTAGAGCTAAAATAAGCACTCAGCCGCAGTACCTTTCGAGCAATGGACAGTGCCAGCACATTTTATTATGCCTGTCACACCCTGGTCAGAATTGGTGGACCCTGGACTGCAAAAGAAGCTCCCTTTTGTTATGTTTGAAGCACGAAAGGACGAATCTCTCCCTAGTCTACATAGAGACTGCAAATGGAGAACAACAGGATTTCCTAATTAAAGAGAGTATGAGCTATTTCCTTTTCCTTCATGCAGATAGACACCTAGAAAAGAGTGACCTGCTGGTCTTGAACTCACGGGTCTTTATCTTATAGACTTAGGCGTTGCTATGGAAACGAACTTTTCAACGGGTATCTATTCATGATGTAGCCCTGCTGGATGTTGAACTTACTCTGTAGCTGAGGATGAATTTGGTTTTTTGTTTGTTTTTGTTTTTGTTTTTCGAGACAGGGTTTCTCTGTATAGCCCTGGCTGTCCTGGAACTCACTCTGTAGACCAGGCTGGCCTCGAACTCAGAAATCCGCCTGCCTCTGCCTCCCAAGTGCTGGGATTAAAGGCATGCGCCACCACCGCCCATTGAGGATGAATTTGTACTCGGGGTCCTTCCGCCTCCAACTCTGGAGTGCTAAGATGAAGTGTGCACCCAGATGTAATAATTTCTTAGTAAAGTTTGGTCATAAATAGTATGTTTCAATGAATGTCCAAAAAAAAATCGGGTTAAGTATGGAGAACTATCCAGAATAATGCTTCTTAAATTGGTCTCAGAATCACTTAACACTGTTAAAAATTATTCAAGACATTAAAAAACGTTTTTTAGCATGGGTTTAGATATTGATATTTGCAGTATCAGACATTTAAAGGTAGAAGAAAATTTTAAAATATTTCATTTCTTTAGAATACTTATAATAAACATGTTATAATGCCGGGCAGTGGTGGTTTATGCTTTTAATCCCAACACTTGGGAGGCAGAGGCAGGCGGATTTCTGAGTTCGAGGCCAGCCTGGTCTACAGAGTGAGTTCCAGGACAGCTGGGCTATAAGAGAAATCCTGTCTCGAAAAAAAAAACCAAAAAAAAAAAAAAAAAAAGAAAGAAAGAAAGAAAGAAAAGGAAAAAAAAAAGAAAATACTTTCTCAATAAGGTATACCCTGGGGGAAAAGAATATTTTAATAACCTTTTTTTTGTTTTCTTTGATAAAAGGCCAATACTTGACAAGTGGCAGTTTTTTTAAATTAGTTGCAATGTGGACTCTGAGATACCTCAGAGTATCTGCCAATATTGAGATGATCCCATGGAATGGACTGTTAACCAATATATGACTAATTCTGTAATCACATGCTTTGGTCATTTTGAAAAAGTTAGTTCATTCAGTTATGCAAACTTTCCAAATGTTGTCACATGGCATTTAATACAGAATTAAAAGAATTGGATTTGTTTCTCAAATGGTGACTACAGGAACTCAGGAGGCAAAGGCTGGAAGGTTGCTGTAATTTTGAGGCCAGCCTGAGCTACATAGTAAATTCAGGGTCATGCTGGGCTACAGTGTGAGATTCTGTCTCAAAAACTACTATATCAATACTCTTTACTCACTGGGATAGATGTGACTTTTCCAAAAAGCCTTACATCTGCTATAAGTTAGGGAATATAAGTTATCACTAATAATAGACATTGTCAACTGTTTTTCTTGAAGTGATGTCTTATTTTTATTAATTCTTGACAAAATCTGAACGCTATAGAGTATCGTTCTTTCAGTTCAAGTAGAAACAGTGTTCCCTGAAAAATACACGGCTGGCTTAGCTCAGGACTCAAATAATGACGTACCCAATCTCAGGACAACCATCATGCCCCCATGTGCAGCAGAAATGCTTTGCCGGGCGGTGGTGGCGCACGCCTTTAGTCCCAGCACTTGGGAGGCAGAGGCAGGCGGATTTCTGAGTTTGAGGCCAGCCTGGTCTACAGAGTGAGTTCCAGGACAGCCAGAGCTACACAGAGAAACCCTGTCTCAAAAAAAAAAAAAAAAAAGAAAAAAAAAGAAAAAAAAAAGAAAAAGAACAAGAACAAGAAAAAAGAAGGAAAGAAAGAAAGACTTTGTTTACAGGTCTCATTTCATTACTAAAAATATCAAAAGGAGAGGCCTACATTTAATAAAAATGTTGCCTCACCAGAGATATTCTTGAAATTAGGGCTTTTTCTTTACATGAAAACATGAAAGGGAAGGATAAGTAGAATGCCTACCACTGTACTCTGAAACCTGCTATCGTTTGGATCTTAACATCCCCCAAAGTCCATATTTCTAAAGACTTGGTCCCCAGCATTCTGCTGTTGGGAGATGGTGGAGCCTAAAGAGAAGGGGTCCTTAGGTATTACATGTTATACACAAAGGGGAGCATAGGGCCCTAGGTTGTTCCTTTTAACTTCCTAGCCATGTAGTAAGCAGCGTGAGTCCTCAGTCTCTTCTTGCCACAGTATGCGACCTTGCCCAAAGCAACCAGCCAAGGGCATCATAGATGAACACAAACCTTTCAAATCGGACAAAATGAGGCCTTTATCCTTATAAGTTGGTTCTATCTGTTTTTTGTTTTA